TTACATGGTTTCAGGAGGCAGAAGTGGTTTGTTTTTGTCTGTGGGCACAGAACCAGGCTGGGTGGGACTTGGAGCACCCTGGTGTAGAGGGAGGTGTCCCTGAGATTGCAGGGGGTTGGAACTCAATGATCTTAGGGGTCCCCTCCAACCCAAACCATTCTATGATTCTGTGCTTTGCAGACCCAGTCAGGTGAGAAAGCTTTGTGCGTTATGGCACGGTGTGCTTGCCCAAAGGGAGCTTTGGCAGCAGAGGTTTGCTGTCAGGAGGCACGAAAGCCTTCATGCAAATCCTGCTGTGTGCAGGCACAGAGACATCAGCTCACAGCACATCACTGACTTGGTGCCTGCCCTGCAGCTGCTGTTTGTTAACCTGGAGTTGCCTCTTGACAGAAGAAACACCTGCACCAAGGAAGTGCTGCAGCTTTGTGGAAAACTTCCTGCTTCTACTGACCTTAATTCTCTTATTCTTGTCTCTCCTTACAGTACAGTGCGTGCGAAACGAGCCTGCGTGCTTTGCTGAAAGACTGTGTAAATCCATGAAGGTAAACAGATTATGGAGTAAGATTGCTTGCTTCTTCCTTGCATTTTCAAGCTTGAGTCAGCAGCATCATGGCAGTCATGAGATGGAAGCTGCAGCCAGTCAGGAAACTGGCTTTTCCAGGAAAGCTCAGGCTTTTCTGCGCAGCAGGTAACAGTCATACTTAGGAGCAAGCTGCTGCTAATGGATTGCTCCATTAATGCACAAATGCTGTAATTAAGAGCAGCTCCTGCACAAGACTGGGCACTGAGACCTTTGTGTCTGTGGGTGATTCTCCAGCAGTTCTGTGTTGGCTGCGCGTGGCTGCTTTGCTTTCCAGGGCCTGGGAGTAGCCGGCAGCACTCTGATCAGAGTGATGGTGTCCTGCTCCAGAATTGATGTGCTGGATATCAGAAGAGGATTCCTGACCACGTATGGGAAGTCTCTCTACTCCTTCACGAAGGTAAACTTGTCGATGGTAACACAAAAAGTGGGATTTTCTGAGTGCCTTTAAGGACTGATCCCCCCCTTGACTCCTGGGTATTTCAGAGCAGCTGGGATGAAGCAGACCTTACAAAAATGTACTGAAAATGTACCTGAATATTCCTGAATTGTCCAGGATATGAACACTGCAAAAAGAAATCTGTCTTAAGAAGAATTTTACTTTAATAGAACTTAGAAATTATTCATATTACTTCTTTTTCTTTTCTCAGTAACTCAGTTTACTCTGGCCTTCTCTCTTCCTCTCCTCTACTGTCTTTTTCGACACTCTTCTCCCTCTTTTCTCTGCACCATTCCTTCCTTTCTTCCTCCATCTGCCCTTCCCTCTTTTGCTGTTCCCTCTGTTCTCCCTGCCCTCTCTTTTTTTTTTTTCTCTTGTCCTTTTTAGAACTGCTCTTCTCACCTGTATCTTCTATTCTGCTCTCTTTCTTTTCCCCTCTCGTTCATCACCTTTCTGTTCTTCCCCCTTACAAGCTCCTCTCTTTTTTTCTTTGTTCTGCTCTATCTTTTCTCTCCTTCTGTCCTCTCTTCTCTGTGGCAAGAGGACTCCAAGCTCCCTTGCTGGTGTGGCAAGAGAGGCGCAGGCTCCCTTGCTGGTGCAGATGGAAGGACGAAATACCTGTATTGTAGTGCTTACAACCTTTTATACCTGAACATCAACAACTGGTTACATGTAGAAAACAGGTGCCTCGTGTGTGTTTACATCTGGCTCAAGTTACTGCTGAGCTTTTTTACTCGTTAGCAAGATAATGACTTTCTTTATCCCGCATTTCCCCCTTCTTTATTAATAGATAAAGAAGCATGGTTCAAAAACGATCCTAAAAGCAGCTAAACTGAAAGTAATACACTGAACAAAGGATGGGTTCTTTAGAGTACGAACAATAGTCCATATTAACTAACCCCAACAATTCCAATTGTTATGATTCCTCGGTGACACAGTTGACAAAGTGTGTCTTGTGGGTGAGAGTCCAAAGCACTGATGAGAGTGCTGTGATCATGTTGCAGCGGATGGTGAGACGGGTGGCCAGACCTCCCAGACTCACATGAGCACCTCAAGACACCTCTGGGAACATCCCCTGACCCTTCTGGATGAGTGTAGGACCACTCAGACCCACATGAGGACTCCCTGGACCCTACCAGACCCTACTGGGACGTCTCCAGATCAGTCTGGGGACTCCTCAGAGCTCCTGGGCCCACAATGGGAACTTCCAGATCCTTCCAGGGTGCCACAGGACCAACCTGGGGACTCCCTTGAACCGGGCTGGGGGTCGCCTTGGCAGCAGGATGGGCTTCGGTGTGGAAGAATCTTCCCAGTGCCCACCTCAGAGCTCGAGCTGAAGACAGCAGTGGGAAGAAGGGGCCTTTAGCACATCCATGGCACTGAGGAATCTGGAGGGGAGGGGAAAGCAAACAGAGAAGCAGCAGATGTTCTGCAGCACGGGAAGGGCTTAAGAGCCCAACTTTGGGCAGTGGTGCTCTGCAAACTGTTGGGAAGCAGCAGGAAATTCTGCCAGCAGTTCCCTGGGAAGCTCCTTTGGAAGCTCTGGCCACGTTCCTTGTGATTCCTCCCATCGAATGCCTTTCTCTTCCAGATGGCGTGAGCAGGACCTGTTGTGCATGAGCTCCCATCTCTGGGGTAAGAACACTTCCTTGCCCTGCACCCCTGGCTCTGTAGTGTGGCCTCAGCTGGCTGCATGCTCTTTGCACACCTTGTGCCTCCCATCTGTATGGTGGAAGGCAGCCCTTGGCAAAGCGAAGGAGCAAAAGGGGCTGGGGGATAAGGAAGGGCACAACGCCCCAGGATCCTTCACCTCATGGCACTGGAGCTCTGAGCTGTGGGGTGGGCAGTGCTGAAGACTCGCTTTGCCTTCAGGAGCTCATCGGTTTGGACGGAGGGGAGAGGCAGGAGCTGAATGTGAAAACTGCTCAATTGTCAGCCAGGAAGGACCTCATTCTTGAATCAGTGTTTGATGTCCTCCAAGAGAATGAGATCCACGGATTGAAGAGAGAGGTAATGGTACTGCTCCCCTGTTTCCTCTCAGCCCTTTCCAGAGAGAGCTCTGTGCTCTGGCTGCCCACCCCACACTTGACTCTCAGGTTCAGCCTCTCTTGTATCTTGCAGCCGCTCTGCTCCCCTCACTGAGAGCTGCTGCTGGTGCTGGCTGCACAGTGCAGCTGTGATCAGGGTGCTCTGTGCAGCGCTGTGAATTCCCCCTGGGCTGGGCCCGACAGGCACCTGCTGGGCTTGGCTTGGAGGCCAGACATCGTCCCTTCCAAGAGACTTGTGGGTCAGGCTTCTTAGCTGGAAGGGCCGTTCTCCAGGCCAGCTGCAACTGGAGCACTGCAGGGCCTGACTGGCTCAGGGCATGATCTGACTGCCTGTCCAGGCTGTTCTGGAGATGGCACGAGGCTGGCAGCAAGAGGGTCAGGCAGAGCCCAAGGTCCATCTTTGCTGTGTCTCTGGAGTCCCGTGGCTCATGGGGGCACACTTTCTGGAAGATCTTGCCGGATTTCTGGAAAGACATGGTGCCCTCCCTTAGCTCTTGGATAGGACTCCCTAGTCACACCGATCTCCAGTATTTGTGCTCACTGCTGTCTCTCCATTCCCTATTTGTTGCCAGGAAATTCTGCAGTTGACACAGCACGCCATTGAGAAAATCATGGAAAAATGGCATCTGGATGCCCAAGTGGTCTCTGGAAACCATGGGTACGTAGAGAGACGGCTTTACTACCCTCAGCTTTGCATCTGGCACTCCCAAGCCTGACAAGATCTGCTTTCTGTCAGAGTTATCTCATAGAGCTTTAGAACGGCTGAGCTCTGAAGGGACCTTACAGACTATCCCAGTCCAGCTCTCTGCCACCCTTTCCATCAGGTGCTCAGGGCCCCATCCAACCTGGTCTCCAGCACCTCCAGGAATGGGGCATCCATGGCTTCTCTGGGTGGCACATTGCAGGGCCTCACTGCCTACTGGGGATCAAGAATTTCTTCCTGACATCCCATCTAAATCTTCCCTCTCTGATAATTTAAAAAGCCTATACCTGTGCTCCTAGGGCTGACCAGCTCCTTTCCCCAGGTGCTCAATCAGTGTCTCAGGCTGGGACTCCACAGTTCCCATACACAGCGGGAGGGATTTTGCACCCCAGAGCCCCGCCAAGAGCTTCAGGGAACGAGCATTCACTCCTTCAGCTCATCTCCGGACTGTCCTAGTGCACATCTTTCCATCTTTATTTCAGGTGCCACTGTTGATGCAGCGAGCACATCTAAGAGTTATGGTGGGAAAGGCTGGAAGAACCACTGGCTTTCTCCACTCTTTTCTACCACAAAGCCTCCTGCGACGCTCCTGCAGGTATGGCAGGAGAAACGGTGACTGTGTGTTCACTGCCTTGCCTTCTGGCTGCAGGAGCAAGTGTGCAGCAATTTCCTTTGGCCCAGCTGCACTGTTCAGCCCACACTCTTCCCCACATTACTGACACTAGCGCTGGGAGGGTGATGGACTGACAGATGCTGGAGGGCTGCCCTGCCGGCTCTGGGCAAGCAGAGAAAGGCGGTTGACTCCAGACCTGTTGTCCAAACTTTTGCATGTTCCCCTCCAGTCCCTTGATTGGCGTTCCATTACAAGGAGAACAGCAGCCCACAGAGAAGGCAGTCTCTGTGCTCCTTGCCAACAGCCAGCTCTGGGGCTCTGCCTCACTGCTGATGGGCACGTCTTTCTCATTTCAGCCCCATATTTCTCCTGGCAACTGCTGGGCTTTCCAAGGATCCCAAGGCCACGTGGTCATCCGGCTGTCAGAGAAAATCTGACCCACAGCTTTCACTGTCTGGCACATCTTCAAGTCTCTCCCTCCGGGGAAGTCAGCCTTGGCGTGTTCTTTTTCACACGGCCTGCCTAAGTGTAACCGCCATCATCTCTTGTCTCTGAGGGACTGGATGAGGACGAAGGTGAAACTCTCCTGGGGTTATTCATTTATGACGTGGATGGAGAGATCGCCCACACTTTCCACGCGCAGGTATGCCCTCTGAGTGCCGCCTTGGCTTCTACAAGTGCGTGTTTGGGGAGGCACCGGGGTGGGGGCCGCACTGTGTTGGCCCCGTGGAGCCTCTGTGGTGCTCAGGACCTCTGCTCGGTGCAGGGAGGTGCACGGTGCGCCCCCCCAATCCAGGGTATGCCGCTGCCCAGTGTTCTCTTGCTTCCGTTTCCTTACGTGAAGCATTTTAAAATGCATGTTGTCATGGGCCGGCATGAGCTGTAGGGCCTAAAGCCACTGCCCTGCTCAGACTGAGCTGGGTTTGGTGCTGGCTGGTTGCCGGGAGGTGTCTCAGCAGAAAAGCTGGGCTGGGAGGAGTTCCCAGCTCCAGCAGTGCTCCTCAGCACAGCTGTTACCAGAGAAAATGGGTTCTTGTTGAGATTCCATCCCATAACTCGGTGAGGATGATGAAATGTCATTACTCCCCTAGAACTCCAACTGCTGCGCCCCCACCTGCATGTGAGATATTGAAAAGCAAGGAGAGCACAAACTTCTCAGAGCATAACTCGTGCCCCCTGCCCCATGGATGGCTGAGTGCAGAGCTGTTGAGGAGGTGGAGAAGAGCACTTGCTGATAGAAGCCATGGCAGTCAGACACATAAACTGGATCAAGCTCTTCCAGCCAGGTGACTTCCAGACATTGCCTCAGAGGCAATGCTCACATTGTTTGGAACACTTAACAACTATTGCAGTTTTGCAAGAAAGAGTTAATCACGTAATTAAGCAATTATGTTTCTAAAACATGCTGCTAACATATACAGTATTTTTGCTTTTTAGATCAGCTCTGTCTAAGGATAAGTTACAGAATACAAATACATTGTGTTCTACTTCTTCAAACCAATTGCCCTTTTTAGTATCTAATGTAGACACAACATTCCATTCCCACAATTTCCCTACCCTTTTTTTTTTTTTTTTTTTTTTTTTTACAATGTTGATTTCTGCAATTCTTTTCTAAGGTACGATTCTAAAGACGACTTCTTCAGTTTCTTCATTTTCCATTTCTTCTAATACCATCATTTTATCTGAATATGGTGGTGGCTCCATTATTGTTTGTTCAGCAGTGCAGTTTCGATTAAATTGCTGTTCAAATCCCCTCACGCAGGGGACAATACAGCAACCGATGGCCGTCAGGACTCCTGCTACCATAATCAAGGATGTAAACACGGGCACTTTCCATTTGCCAAACCAGGACTCCAACCATCCAGTGATAGAAGCATCTATTCCTGAGTTTTCTGCCAATTCATCAGCAAGAGTAGTAAGCCCCCGTCGTGCTTTAGTTATTGTGCCATCTGGGGCTGTGTTATTTGGGACGAAAGTGCAACAAGTGCCCAGCATTACACGCATACACCCTTTTTCAACTAATACCGTATCTGAGAGATCCTGTTTTCCCAGGCCATCCTACTTGTAGCATCCAATTGTTCCACAATTCCCTCTATTGCCTCCTTTGTACAGTTTATAAATCTCTGCTGATTGTAATGGATGTAGTTTATCCAACGTACGTTTTTGTTAATTTGTCACCCACCAGAACAGTGACTCAAATCCTGCAGCAATTTGATTTCTAGCCTTAAATTCATCAGGGACACCTCTGGGCACCCCAATTGAATCTCTATATATTGTATCATCAAATGAGAATCCTGGGCTCCTTTTGTTCTTTCTGTGAGTGTGTGACAGATCCTTCTCAAATGCCAGAGTGAACGGTACAGGCAGTTGAACAAGGGCACAGGTACCTCCCCAGTTAGATGGGAGGGTGGACATAAGATCTCCCACCGCAACACCACCAGAGATCCACTCCAGGAATTCCCAGCCTTGAACAGTTCCCGCTAAATCTTTCGTAACATCCAAGGTTTCACTGCACAGTGGGAAATTCCCTATAGGCCTGGTAGCCTTGAGAGGCAAGGCGTACAGTTTTACCTATGGCCATGGAGAATGCAGGAGGGATTTTGGCATCCATCTCCAGTACTGGGGGAAACAACACGGAGAGTGACTTACAGGCTTCATTTCCCCAGGCTGTTTTCTCCTGGTACATGGCGTCCCTTGGGGATCCTTGGTCCACCCCAGAGCAAGGGCTGCTACCTGAGCTACAGGCTGCCCTGATGTGCAGTCATAGCAGTTGGAGAGGAGTTCCTCCCCTTCCCCCCCCTCCCCTCTTTTTTCCTCTCCTTCCCTTTCTCCTGCCCTTCTCTCTCCTCTCTGGACAGTACACTTAATCCATTCTACCGGGCATTCACACCTCTGTATCCTGTCTCAATTTCAAACATTTGTCCGAGATGCTTTATTTCTGTAATTACTACAACTGCAGGATTTTTAGGAGCATTTTCCATTCCCTTTTTCTTATCCTGGACATTCTGAGTATGATCAGGGAATGAATCCCATGCAGCCATTCTGAATCTAGCTGCTGGGTCTCTTCCATGTATGTTTATTCCAATGCCAAAAGTGATGTTAAGGAGGCTATCAGCCTTGCTAATCGTTATTGTCACTGGATTGCACTGCGAGGCCCGGCAGCCTGGTTGGACAACTCCTTTAAACACACCAATCCTTCTTTTAGGGTGTGTGTTTGCCAAGTATCGAACATCCCTGGGTGTATGTCCAGCCTTGATAGGCAGTTGTCCACCATACATTATTCCATCCCCTACAAGGGGATCCCTCATTCACACCCAATTCAGGGCACAGGTATTTCTCTTCACTGCTCAACCGTCGTTGGGCACTTAACCCCCGCAGGCATCACGTGGCATCGAATGTGGCAGTCTGAGGCCTTTCTCTCCTTGTCACATTCACCCAAACCTTAGCAGGGTACCCTCCCACTCCCCTCTGCAAGTCATCCTTTTCCCAAGTAATCAATTGACCGAGGCTTTCTTTGAAGGGGATTATTGTCAAGGTCAAAACTATTAATTGGTCCCTCCTCATCATCATTGTCAAATCTTAAATCTCTATATAGTTACTATATGAAGAATAGGATAGGATATACAGGTGTATATACAAATATACACCTGCATGCTGATACTGTTAAGGAGAAATTACATGTCAGTTTATTTACAGTTTCTTTTTAATTTTTATCTTTAGAGGATCCTCCATGGCAACAGTTTTCCACGCTTCAGGGTTAGTGGAAGGTTTTGCTTGAGTGTAGTGAGTCCAATCTTTCTAGGCTGTCCTGACAGCTGTTTCTGCTGTCAGAAGTACTTGGAATGGTCCTTCCCAGTCGGGTTGCAGCTTTGCCTCCTTTGTGGTCTGGATGAGGACCCAGCCTCCAGGTTGGGATGGATGAATCGGAAATTCCAGAGATTGTGCCAGCAGTCCTCGGATCCTGAGAGACGATAGTGAGGAAGACAATCCGAGTCTGTGGTTCTTAAGGAACACATCTTTAGTTTCAAACTGCGGTACCTCATTTTCCTTTCCCAGATATGGTAACCCAAATAACATTTCATATGGGGAAACCCCCACAAGCCTTTCTTGGTGCTGTACGGATTCAGAGAAGTGCCAGAGGCAAGCATTTGGTCCAACGGAGTCGAGACTCTATGACCAACTTGTGAGGAGTTTCTGTATTCTCTGATTCATTCTTTCTACTTTTCCTGATGACAGTGGGTGCCGGGGGTATGAAATTCCCATTTAATCCCTGAAGCGTGCATTAATTTCTGTAATGTGTGTGAAGTGAAATGACTACCTTGGTCTGAATCAATGTATTCTACCACTCCATATCTAGGGATTATGTGTTCCAAAATTACCTTGGCTACTGTATTTGCAGTGGCAGATACTGACAAAAATGCTTCTACCCACCAGTTAAGTGGTCTACAGGCACTAATGAGTCCTTGATTTTCCCTACATTCAGGAGTTCCATAAAATCTACTTGAATACTTTGGAGTGGTCGAATCCCCGACTCTCTTCCCCCTTTAGGCTGGTGTCTGATAGCCTTACTATTCGCTTTCTGGCACACTACACACCCCCTGCAGACCTGTTCAGAGTACATATCCCTATGCTTACGTATTTTCACAGCGCAGCATCACACAGGGCTTGCACTCCCCAATGACTGCCTTGATGCAGGATGATGAAAATTTCTCTTGTCACTGTATTGTTTAATATTCTCTCCCATGTGAAATGATCCACCTTCCCTCGGACTCCGTGGCCCCTCAGTTCCTAAGGATTTCCTTTTCTTTTTTACAGAATATTTGTTTTGGGGGAAGAGGTGGTGCCTCGGGCACAAGATCATTCATAGTAATTGTTGATTGTAAAGCAGCCTCACGGGCTGTTTTATCTGCTGCCTGTTGCCTTGGGCGATGATTGAATTCCCCTTCTGGTGACCTCTGACATGCACTATTGCAGTTTCAGTGGGTAGTAGTAAATTTTCTAAGACTTGTCCGTTCTCCACAGACCAATTCCTTTCCTTTACTGTTGATTAACTCTTGCTCCTCCCAAATTTTTCCAAAAGTGTGTACCACTCCATATGCATACTTTGAATTGGTAAATATTCTCCTCCCTTCAGGAGATGAAGTGCTCGGTGCAGGGAACATAATTCACATGTCTGTGCTGACCAGTCATTAGGCAGCCAGTTCATCTCCCTCACCTCCCCTCTTGCTCCCTCTACTACAGCACATCCATTGTGTCTCTTTTCTTGCACCACTCTTGAAGACCCATCAACAAATAAAAGCTTTCCTTCCTCAAGGGGGGTATCTTGCAGATCAGATCTTACTTTCATTTGATACTCAGTTAAATCCAAACAACTGTGCTCCACACTTTTCTTTCCCTCGTCCCCTTTCCACAAGAGTGTAGCTGGATTTAGGTAAGATTCAGTTGTTATCTCTAAGTCATTTTTCTCCATTAGTATTCTCTTATATTTCAGAATTCGGAGTCAGTTAGCCATCTTCCAGCCCTTTATGTCAGCATATTCTTCACTTGATGTGGGGTAGTGGCTGTCAAGCATCCCCCAAAGGTCAGTTTTCTGCTCTCTTCTACCAGAAGGGCAGTTGCTGCTGCTGCCTGAATACATTCTGGCCAGCCCTGAGATACTGGATCCAGTAGCTTAGACAGATGTGCCACAGGCTGACATTTGCCTCCCCATTCTTGGGTTAGCACTCCCAGGGCTGCCCCTTGATCTATGTTAACAAAGAGCTGGAAAGGTTTGTTCAATGCAGGGAGAGCCAGGACTGGGGCTGTAGTTGGATTTTAATTCCTCTATTAATTCCTGTTCCTCAGCAGTCCACTCAAGGGTGTTGGGTTCCTCATCTAATAATTTAAGGTACAGTCCTTTAGTTTTCTGAGCGTATGCTTCTATCCAGAGCCTGCAGTATCCCACCACCCCTAGGAATTTTCTCAGTTCCCCCTTTGTTCTGGGCAAGGGTAGTTCAACGATTCCCTGAATTCTCTCTGGGGTGATTCTACGCTTTCCCTCAGAAACTACATGTCCCAAATATTTAAATTCTCTTTCCACATACTGTAGTTTATTCTTTGAGGCTCTCAGTCCCTGTTTCCCTACAAAATTTAGCAGTTAATTGGTAGAATTTTTAACCTCTGCTTTTTCTGGTCCTGACAAGAAGAGATCATGTACATATTGTAGGAGTGGTACTCCCTCTGGTGGCTGAAAGTGTTCTAATATTTGCTCCAAAACAGATCCGGTGATTCTGCAAACCCCTGAGGCAGAACCATCCACTGATACTGTTATTTTCACCCTCTCAGGATCTTCCCACTCAAAAGCAAATGTATCTCTGCTCTCCAGATCCAGGAGACAAGACCAAAAGGCGTCTTTTAGGTCTTTAACGCTGAGCCATTTATCTTCATTTGGGATTTTATTCATCAAGGTGCATGGGTTTGGAACCGCTGGATGTCGTTTGTACTATTTCATTAATTTTTCTCTTGGACCAGTCGATGGGAGCCATGAGGTTTCCTTACTGGCAGAATGGGGAATTGAAGGGCGTCACGCATGGTTCCAACAACCCATCTTTCAATAATCCTTGTATCACAGGTTCAAGCTCAGTACGTCCCTCAAAAGGAAGTGGATATTGCTTCTGTCTTATGGTCTCATATTTTCCCTGCAACTTTATTTTTAAAGGGGCTATTTTCCGCCCCCCCCCCCCCCATACCCCTCCTTTGCCCAGACCACAGGATCTATCTCTTTCTCCTCTGCCTCAGTTAACACATTCATTGGTACTGTAATTCCCTCCTGACAGGTTTTGCATTCCCAGTTTCATCGTAAGATCTCTCCAAAGCAAATTAGTCCCTGCATCAGGCACATACAGTAACTGTCCTGTTATTGTCCTATTCCCTAATCTCAATTCAGTGTTTTTAAAAGGTGGCACTGTCATCCAAGTCCCGTCTACCCCTGTTATCCTTAGAGTCTCATCCGTTAATTTGAGTCCTGACACTTTATAAGCTAGCAGAGATGGAGCTGCCCCAGTATCGACTAAAAATACAACCTCCTCCCCTTCAGTCCCACTTTATATTTACCAAGGGCTCTTGGTGGGAACAATTTTTCAGGACCCCTGACACCCCTATTCTGAATTTAAAGCAGCTTGTAGCTTCTCCTCTCTCCCACTCTGTTTTTCTTTATATGCCCTAGCTTACCACACTTGGAACACCTCCTTTCACTATTCTCTGATTGAGGTCTGGATCGATATCCTCGGAATTTTTCTCCTCTCTGCCATCCTCCAGGACCCGACCTCTCTTCAGTTTTTCTTTCCCTGTTATCCAATCTTTGTTTCACTACATGATCCACTGTGGAAACCATCAACTTAGCCTTCTGTTCTTCTTCCCCATTTTCCCTCCTAACATATATCTTCTGAGCCTCTTGTAAGAGCTCCTCCAGGGGCCTCGTATTCCATCCTTCTGTCTTCTGAAGTTTTCTCTGTATGTCTGGCCATGCCTTAGTGACAAAATTCACCTTAAGGAGCCCTTGGGCTACAGGATCCTCAGGATTCATTCCTGAGTATTTTCATCCTGTCTCTAAGCCTTTCTAGAAAATCACCAGGTGATTCATCCTTATTTTGCTGAACCTCAAATGCCTTAGTGAGATTCTGGAACTGAGGTACCACCTCCTTAATTCCAGTGATTATTATATCTCGCAAGTCCTCCATGTTTTGCTGATGTTGAGCATCATAACAGTCTCAGTTAGGGTCTTCCAGTGGGTATTTGTGTTCTGCAGGCATCATCCCAAGGTTTCCAGGGGGATTATTCTTTTCCCATTCTTGCATAGCAGCTCATCTGATCATAACCCTTTCCTCTCCGGAAAACAATATACCCATGATGGACATTAATTCCATCCATGAGTACAGGTTAGGACATAGAAATTGGTCCTACTGTTCTGTTACTGCTATAGAATCCTCAATTAAGGATTTCATTTCCTTCTTAAAATTCCTGACCTCTCCGCTAGTGAGTGGGGAGTTTACAGAGCCTATTTGCCCCGGTCCCAGTGGGACCTCCCATAGAGGGTACATGGAGGTGTTAGTGTGGTCGGCGTCAGGGAAAGGAAAGTTTCTGATATCCCTCTTACATTGTTCTAACTCCCTTCTGAGACCAGCGTGCCCTCCTTCCTGTGAAATGACTCCATGAGATTTCTCTTGCTCTTCTGGGGAAGTGCCTGACGCCTCCTGTACTACACCAGGGTCATACGGAGGGGGTAGATGCTCTAGGGGATCCCATTGATTAGTTCTGTTTCCTGATTCCTCTTCTTCCTGATCTGAATCTTTCTTTGCCAGTAACAGACTGACCTCTCGTGTCCAGCAAGCAGCATATTCTGTTTCTTCCTCTGACGAGGGAGTTTTATTCTTTACATACTAATTCAGAATTTGACAGGGAAGAAAAGGAAAGCCGCTGCAGGTAAGAAGCTCTTGTGAGCTGTGGTGTGGGTACTGCCTCTAATCAGGGCTGCATGAAGGGCTAAGTGTGATGGAGGGGAGAGGAAAGGACTGCAGTTCTGTGCTGCCTGCAGAAGTGGCACAGGGCTGCAGCAGCAGAAAGGCAAATTGACAAAACTGCTGCTGAAGACCAGAAGTTTGTGGTTGGCAGTGCTCAAATCTTCCTCCAAAGAGATGCTCTTCATGTCTTTATTGTCTCCTTTCTGTCAGAAGCTGATGCCAGTGGACTTCCTCTGAAGCACAGCCATGTGGAAAGCCAGGAGTGTGGCACAGCACCCAAGAGAGGTACAGACACACAGCAGGCATCTGGGTTTGGTGCACTGTCTTTCTAGTTATGCTTTCTGCCTGTTCTTTCCTGGGACTGTCCTCACTGCTGCATGTTGCTTATGGTCTTAATCCCTGGGATTGACAGTTACCTTTCCTGCCCTGTTTTAGAATGGGAACCCAACATTCACCCTAGATCCCTTGCTGTGAATGTGGTAAGGGAGAGCTGGCATTGACTCTTTGGGATTTTTTTTCTTGCTTTTCCCAGCAGTGGCAAGCAGCTCGGATGTGCCAGAGGACATCACGGACATCCAGGGTTTGTTCTCTTGGATCAATGGTGAGTTTGGGGTCTGCAGAGCTGCAGGCGCGTGTTTGCACCAAGTGGGTTTGGGAAGGTTATCGTCACCGTCCTGGGGGATGTTCTTGCATTTTCAGACGTGGCAAGAGCTGTTGAGGTCCCCCATGAGAACCCCAGCAGCTCCGCCCGAGGATACTTCATTGCTGAGCTCCCTGACAACCCCAGGGACAGCAGAGAGCTCAGCACAAAGGCTGCCTCTGGGACGCCCACCGACCCTTTCTGGGGGCTTCCACCATCCCCCGGGTTCCTGCCTGAGCTGCAGTGCGGGGTGTCAGAGCTGCGCCCCATCGTGCCACCACCAAGTGCCCAGCTCAGCCCACAGCCGGCCATCCTGGCTGTCAGCGCACCTCCCTCAGCGCAAAGCGCACAGCCCATCGAGGAGGTGCAGCAAAGGCAGCCCCAGGTGGTTCAGGCAGAAAAGAAGAACAGGGGCAGCACCAAGCGGGGGGGCCAAGCACCCTGCGCCTGCCCGCACCCCCCAGAAAGGGGAGAGCTCCCAGCAGGAGCAGCCCACCAGCAGCGCCCCAGCCAAGAAAAGGAAGCTGCCACTGCAGAGAGAAAGAACAGTGAGAAAAGGCCGCAAACACCTGTGCCAAGGGAAGCTGTCTGGGGCCGGCGCAGGAGCCAGCAGCAGCGGGCAAGTGGGCACTGCCAGCGAGCTGCATGTGTACCTGTGTGAATACATCCAGGCCGTGCACCTGCTGGGGCAGAGGGTGACTGCGGTGGGGCCACTGCGCCGGCCACCCTCTCTGCAGCCCCAGCCTACGGCTGGCATTGGCCCCGCTGCTCCCCGGCCCCAACCTGGCAGCACAAACCAGGTGGCGCCGGCACCTCCAGGCAGCACGGAACGAGAGGAGGGCACTGCCAAGAAAATGGCGCCGAGCTGCCCGCACCTGTCCTTGCGGAGGAGCTCACCGCTGCAGAGGGACCCACTGTCACAGCAGCACAAACCACAGCCTCAGCCATGGCACCCCATGGACTTTGTGCCCTGCATGGGGCCCTGGGCAGGTGGCAGTGCGGCACCCACAGCGCTGGAGGAGTCGCTGCCCATCACAGTCGAGCAGCGGCCCGAGCGGGTGCACATGAAGAAGCTGGCCCAGGAAGAGTGGCAGCGGGTGGCCCGGCAGATGAAGATCAGCCCCGTGCAGTTCCTGGTGCAGCGGGAGATAGACATGGCCATCGCCGACCAGTATGGCTACCCGTAACCCTGCACTCCTCACCGGCCCACAGCACCAGGCAGCAGCGGCAGCATTCCAGGGGCACCGCCAGCAGCCCCATCCCTCCCCTCCACAACCGAGCCATCCTCCCAAGTCCGCATTGCAGTGGGATGGGACGTTGTCTGGGCACTCGGCTGTGGTGGGACAGGAATTGTAGGATTACTGTCGGTTCTGTTTCTCATTCTGTTCTCGGATAGGTTATTAAAAGCTTTGCATTCCCTTTCCTACGTCCTTCTGTCTGCAGTCATTTGTGCTGTGTCACAGCCCCCCAGCTCCCAACGCCCGCCTCTGTGGCAGGATGGGGCACCATGGATGGCCCACGGTGTCCCTTAGCTGCCACCAGCAGCCCCAGCCCTCCTCTCTCCCTGCAGTCCTTTGTGCAGTGGGATGCTGTTTCACACAGCTCGCCTGCGCTGCCCAGTGCCGTGAATTGCCATGGGGATGGGCAGCAGGCAGGGCACGGCTGGATGGAGGCGAATTGCAATCACATCAGTCACTGTGGCCAGAAGAGACTCCAGCAGCGGCAGCAGGGGCAGTTCCCACGGAGGGGGGAAGCAGGGGTGGCTGGACCTGCCGTGCAGACGGACAGACAGGCATCAGATGCCTCCCATATCACGGCTCTTCTGCCCCCACACCGTTTGGCTCCTGGCAGTTTTGTCTTCAGATAGGACCCGGCCAACTCTGTACACCCAGAGCAGGATTTTCCAGGGGGCAGCCTCTCACGAGTGCTGCCCCCCAGGGCTCGGTACTGGGGCCGCTCCTGTTGAACACTGTTATCAGTGATCTTGAGCAGGTCACTGAGTGCGCCCTCGCTACGTTCACAGACAGCACCGAGTTCAGAGGCAGCACTGATCTGCCAGCCTGAGCAGTTCCGTGATTCTGTGGTTCTATGAAGCCACATCCATTCCAAGCCCATCCCCTACCAGCACCCATCCCTTATAGATCCCATTTCCTGATATCCCATCCCATATCCATCCCATATCCATATCCCCTACCCCACATCCCAACCCCACATCCAA